GTCTCTTGCAAGTTTAAGTTCATTGTCATTCTATCAATCTGCCAACAAAGAATATTGGGGTGGGGGAGTGCGGGAAGTTTCCTCTATTTCGGTTATTTATGACTCTTATGCTTATATAAATTGTATCTGACACAACTGAGAATTTGTTTGTTTTATATTGTTTAGTTTTGATTTGTTTGTTTGTTTTTAATAAAAAGGAGTAATTATTCTAATCCTAATTATCTTACTCAGCCAGTATCTTCAGCAGTCATGGAAGTTTCTACTAATTGCAAGTACTTCTCTTTATTTTTAAGATTGCAATACTATTCCACAGCATAAATTGACGTTCTGTGATAGTCCAGTACTGTGAAAAGCATTTTTTTTTGCTGTCTGTATCTTACCTAATACTCATCAATCTTAATTTTATATTTTTCTCACCATAGATAACCATTAGTACCACTAGCAAAAACTATTGGCTAGGATTGTCAGTTGAGTTAGTGATTTCTATAAAAAGCAACAGAGGGTCCTGTGGCACCTTTAAGACTAACAGAAGTATTGGGAGCATAAGCTTTCGTGGGTAAGAACCTCGCTTCTTCAGATGCAAGATTTGCATCTGAAGAAGTGAGGTTCTTACCCACGAAAGCTTATGCTGCCAATACTTCTGTTAGTCTTAAAGGTGCCACAGGACCCTCTGTTGCTTTTTACAGATTCAGACTAACATGGCTACCCCTCTGATACAGTGATTTCTATGTCACTATTCCTGGAGGACCAAGTTCAGGAAATCACTTAAACACCTGCTGAAGTTTGTTTCTATTCAGGAAGGCATGTACACATATTCTTCACTTAAAAGTTAAGAATGTGCTTACACTGACTTCCTAAATAAGAAAGTTGTTGAGATGGGCCTAAAGGAAGGTATTATTCCATTTGTCAGGGTAGCATAATCTGATCCTAACATGCATTTTAAAATTAGTTTTAAATATGTACTTATAAAGGATCAAAAGTGATTGCTACTATGTCTACTGGTTTGTAAAGTTTAATTGTTTATTGTTCTTTTTCACTTACAATACATATTTTATAAATGATTCAGTATTGGAAACAGATCAGAACACATCCATTTATAGAACCTATGTTTTTTAAAAAAGGGCTTAGATCATTCATTTACATGTCATTGTAGTTAATATAACACCCTAACACTCATCAAGAACTAAACAAACAAACAAAAAAAATCTAACAAGGAAAAGAAGAGGAGCCCCATGGTACCAGTTTAATCAGCTTAGACAACTAGAGCACATGATTCAAGATGATTTAAATGGCCTATGACAAAAGGATAGTTAACAGTCTGTGAAACGTCTATCATCCTTAGTTAGAATGAACCTATTGATTTAGTACCTTGTCTTAATCCCAGACGAAATCAGGGTAAAGGGCTCAAAAGTGTCTAGCCCCACAGTGGCACTGCCAAGAGAATAGAAAATCCTCATCACCACATTGATATAAAGCACATGCATATTGAAATAAACTATGCAATTAATCTGGGGCAGGATAATCAATTAAGCAAATCATTTGCTAACTTTTACAATAATCTTCTGAAAAGACAGAAGACAACAACTGTAAGGGAAAGCCTTCATGTTTAATGAAAAATATTAAATATGCATGCCATGAAGTTATTTAAAATGCCAAGTTCAGCATACGTAATAGATGTCACAGCATATTAATGAAAGTCATTTTGGAAGTGATAAAATCTTTTAATAAATACACCCAGAACTGTCCTGGTGAAGTGGCAGTGCTGCAGTGTGGTGCTATTAAGGGAACAACCAAAGCCTGAGTTTGAACTTATGCTCCCTTCTGCCTGGGTTCACAAAGGCTCAATGTGCTGCTGAGGGTAGTCTATGAAATGGAAGGTGCAGCCACAGATTGTATACAGCACTCCATGGTTGATGAAAGTGACAGCCACACTCCCCATATAGTACACAAACCAACATCAGCAAACAGTGATGTACACACTTCATTCATACAGGACTGAACAGCCAAAAACTGAAATCACACTCTGCATGCAAATAACCAAGGCATTTATAGAGTGTGTGTGTCCATATCCTTTCAGTGCATATAGGGAAGCCTATTTATTTACTAGTATTGAGATCTTTAAAGAAGTGAAGGTGATTTAGCCACCCCTGTTCCCATTAATCTGTTCACCATATGCCTCTCAGTAGTTCAACCACAGACTTTTTTGTCTCAGAGGGTGGGTAGAGAGAGAAGAGTAATTTACTTTGGGGAGAGATCCAGGAGAGTTATTTTAGTACTGATGACATTTTGTTGGCTGATTTTTAGTGTGTGCTTTTTATATTGTTATTGTCACAGGGTGTCATGGTTCAGGAAGGTGGGCTCCAATCCAGACCAATTAGGGATTGTGTCACTGCCTACACTGTAACCGCAGGTGCCTCACAATGTTTGGTTGTTGTAGCTCCAAATATGGGCCATTACAACCAGCCTATCAGCATGCAGGTCAAACCTTGAATGTCTTCTTGTCTGAAAAGCCTTTTTTAATTTTGACAAAATGTTTGTGCTGTGTATGGATGCATCAGACACTGGTTTAGGGGCAGTACTAATGCACTCAGGGGAGAACAAGAAGAAATGCCCCATTGTTTCCTGAAGGAAGAAACTGATACCCACTGAGCTGAATTATTCTTTCACAGTGAAAGAATGTTATGTCATTGTGTGGGCGGTCAAGCAGTTACAGCCCTATCTTTTTAACAGAAAACTCAGGGTACTAACAGACCATTCCCCAGTAGTCAGGTTACACAAAACTAAAGGCTCCAATTCTAAGCTACTATGGTGGAGCATCATACTCTAAGAATAGGATATGGAAATTGTACATGTAAAAGGGAAAATAAAATATATGTTAGCAGATTCCCTGTCTGGGAAGGAGGGCTCTAATCTACTGTCTCCAGGTCAGCCAGTGGCTAACCTTCCTGCAGCTTTGTAATGGAGGAGGTGTGACTGAAAGCACCCTACACAAGGCAGAAAATATCTTATTGCCTCTATATCAATCTATGGCACACCCACATCTTGAATACTGTGTGCAGATCTGGTTGCCACATCTCAAAAAATAGATATTGGAATTGGAAAAGGTACAGGAAAGGGCAACAAAAATTTTAGGGGTATGGAACAGCTTCCATATGAGGAGAGATTAATAAGACTGGAAAAGACAGCTGCACCTTTGGGAGAGAGATCGTGACCAAGGAGAGGGTCAGTCACCATCTTGCTGGAAGGCTGTGGGGAGAAAGGCCATCTTGAACAAAGCCTTAAACCAAAACTTGCTAGATTAAGTTTTAGACTATTAGATGAATGTTTTCATTTTATTTGCTGCTACCATTTCTAACCTTCTCTATTATAGTTGAATTCATGTAAAATCCTATCTTCTTTTGGTAATAAACTGACTTAGATTAAAAATAAAACAAATCTAGTGCTGTGTTTAAACTGAACTGTTTGGTAACTCCAGTTTATGTAATAAACTGTTGAATGTCTTCTCCTTAAAGGGACAATGAGCCTTAATGTCTGAATTGTCCAGGAGAGGCCTACTTATTGCAGAACACAGATTTTGGGGAAAACTGGGGGCTGGGAGTGTGTTGAGGTCACCCTGCAAGTAGTAACCAAGGCTGGTGGAAACCAGAGTGGAGCGATGGACTGTAGATAGGCTGCTAGAGTCAGAACTGCTAAACCAGGGCTATCTAGCACACAGATACTCAGGGTGTGACCTGCATGCTGGTAGGTGGATTGGGAGCAGCCCAGGTTGGGAGCCACAACAGCAAAGCACTGTAAGGCACATAAGGTGGTGCTGGTCTGGATCGCACCCCAGAATGTGACAGTTATTACAATTTTATTTAGAGATACTATAAAATATAGGAGCACAACTGCAATGATTATTAATTAATTAATACATACAGCAGTCCTAGAAAATTGACAGATACAGACACTGTGTAGTTCTCTCTCACAAGATGTTACATGAAATCTTGTGATAGCTTCACTTAGCGGAATGGGAGAAGAACGCATTTATAATTGTTGGGAGTAAACCTAAAAAAAATCTCTTAATATATAATTATAGTCTGTATGGAAAAGTCAATAGAAATGAATAGTAACTGGGTTTCATGAGTTTTGGAACCATCTTCTAAAATGTAACAAAAATATATATCCCAGGTATAGAAGTCTGTCAGAGAATAATATCCTTTCTTTAGGTTTTTGAACTAACAAATTGTATAGGTCTCTAAAGTAATTTCTATAGCATATCATTAAACTATAGAACCACATTGTTTCATGCCTATTAAACTCAATTGCCCTTTAAATTAGAGTACTTCTGTACTTTTAAATGAGACTACTTCTGGCATTTCTATCCCCTAACAAGAAACTGAGGAAACTAAAACTATGGTAACACATCATACATGGATGACTCAAAGATTACAGTATTGAACAGGAGTTAATGACTCCTAAAATAATGCACTGCTCTAGTTGAACTCAAAGTGATAGCCACTGCATGGACACTGAACCTAAATAAAGTCCAGAGTCATGGTAATATATTATGCAACCAATAGCAGCAAAGGGCACCATTCATAGATCCTGATCCATCAAAGCACCTAGCAACATGCATAATTTTTAGAATGTGATTAGTCCATTGACTTTAAAGCAGCTACTCACATATGTAATTGCTCTCAACGATCTGGATTGTGTAGCACCACATGGAAAAAACATTAGCCATATCATTTATACGTTATCCAGTGGCCCCAAAATATGATGGTCTCAGCATTCAAACAATACCCCATGCCTGAGTAGTGAAAGGCACACCTTACAGCTACCTATGGCAGCTTCTTCCTAGACCAGTACTGGTAAATATTAACTCAAGATATCACATTTGCATACTCTTAGACATAGCTCCATCAAAGAGAAGACCAAGTTGGGTGAATTATAAAATATATACACTGTTATTTCATTTATAAAATAATCCTTAATGGAAGGAATAAAAGACTACTTACACCAGAATAGAAAGGCTCACCAGACACACAGATCACATCCTGCTCCTGGATCATCAAAATATCTTTGGCTAAGTGCAGTCGCACTTTGAAAGGCTCCTGATTACCATCCTGCAGCAAACAAATCCCTGTCTTTGTCTTCAAAGGAAGGAACAGAGAGAAAAGTTTGCTTAGTTTCCAAATGTTATCAGCAATGCCCATATTATAAAGCAGATTAAATGATATTTCTTAGATGGATTATTAGTAATGGAGTCACCATAACTTAACTCAATATTTCCAACAGTTAACACAAAGAGTATATGTGATTATCACAATTACTTGTAACAGTTGGCAAATGTTAACTTTTTTAAATGCTGTGAGCTTGACCCTGCTCATGAGTTAAGAAAACTTTTGTCATTAGCTTCAATGAGAGCATATACTTTGGTGTCAGATAATTAACTGCTGGATACCTAATCCATCTGCTCATGACATAAGAATAGACATCCACTAGTATATCCAACCAAAGGAAGGAAACTGAGTTTAACATCTCCAGAATAATCATTCATAAATAAAAAAGAGTAATTCACAAAAGCCAATATTTTACTGTCATGTACAATACCTAATTTGTACAAAGGGTACATCCATCATGCCTTTGCAGAGTGGATAAAATTCATTTACATTAACAAAAATAATATTTGAGCACTACATGTTTGCTGATGAAGTTTGAAAGAAAATCAACCCCCAACTGAACTGGTGGAAATGACTGGCTAAGTGCCTGGAACCAGAGTTTGAAGTGCTAGACCAGTTTTTGATATTGTTGTATCTTCTTCTGTTCATTTCAATTTATTCAACTAGTTCAATTCAACAATTAGTTCATTCAAAGTTGAGAAATTGATTGGGAATTGAAAAAGCAGGAAAGCATATTTTCCTCTTCCAATTTAGGAATACAAATGAAGTGTGAGATGATGAGTTCTACTAGTTCTAAAATCTTGAAGGACATGGTGAGGAGAAACAATTGTCTCAGCTCCAACTACAGAATACTTCCTTTGTTTAATAAATCAATTCGTTTGAAAATGCAAAATGTTTTGATAAACTTGCTTTTTTTCCTTGTGTATCCACATGCTTAAAGTAGTTTTATATAATGTATACAATTTTAAAATACTGTTTTGTGCATTTTTAATTGAATTCCAATTTCTATCCAAATGCATCTTGACAGAAAACAGAAGTAAATTCATCATCATCATCATCATCATGTGAATAAATGTATTATTCACCATTTTCAAAGAAAAAATAAAAATTATGCAGCTGAAAAATGTACATTAAGATAAATAATTGCTTAAATCAGTGTATAGATATCATGTATCCTTGGATTATCAAAAAGAAGTACCAACTTTAGTGTAAAGGCTATAGTAAATGGCAAATCAACATGTCTCAGTGGTTACCAACCAATTAGAAGAATCAACCTTTCTTTTGCAAAATAACTAACAAATACAAATGCAAAACAAGATTAAATCAAATATTTAAATCAAGGTTTCCTGATTGCTGATTTAAATCATGATTAAAATCAATGATTTAAATCAATCCACCCTCTGCTTTTGTCATACTTTTCAAACAAGGTAGACTGCAGTTAAACAGACAAGGAAAAACAGATCATAGAACCTAGCTTTGTCTGGTATTCTGCTCCGTGCTATGGCTTTTACTTTTTATGTTTTAAAAAACACTTACAAATCAGAAAATCTGTAGGGCTGTTCAACTTCCGTCAACATGCTTTTAACCTAATGTACAGTGGCATTGTGGACTTGTCTCTTATACCACTTTTACCTGTAGACTATACGTGAAAGGTCTGGGAAGTCAAGTGGCTGAAGGAGTGTTTGCATACAGTACTTATTAATCTTTATGTCAGAGTCTGTGTTGAAAATTCACAGCAAAAATCTCTCTGTACAAGACTTCATGCAACGCCCACAGCCAGAATGACAGGAACCCAGGGCTTTTGTGTGCATAGTGTTTTTTGGTGTGAGGAAATTCTTCATAAGCTGATATTAAAAGGACACTATTAAGATCATTTTACAAAGTTAAAAACAAAACAAAAAAAATCTATAAAAATCCTCTGGGAGGCAGAAAAATATTATTGTTTTCTATTACTTTTCTCTTTTTTTCCCATCTAGCAAATATGTTTGCACAACTCCAGCAACTAGCAAGAGCCAGATATCTCAGGATGTGGTTATCAGTTCCTGCTTAAAATCAATCAGTAGGGGTGGGGCATGGGTGTATGAGAAAGAAAGTGTTACAGAATGAAATTGTCCTTATTCTAGGGTGTAACTAAGTAACTCTTCACTCGCTACCGGAGCCCTCCCTCTACAATGACGTAGGATAGCATCAAATGGTGAACTTGGGTCTTTATGAAGATTCAGAGTTCAGCTCACTTCTGCAACAAGTTCTCTCCCAACATCCGAAGAATTCTGGGATTTCTAGTCCAGAAACCATGAGAATTGTACGCTGCTAAAAAAACATGCCAGGTGAAATCCTAGCCCCATTAACATCAATGGTAAAATGCCCACTGATTTCAAAAGGTGCAGGATTCCACCTCTTGGGTATAAAAAAGGTTTCTTTTCCTCAGTCTGGGGAGGGGCGAAAGTCAGGGAAATGTTAGGGCTCACTGTGAGACGCTATGCCAAGGATATGGCTAAATTGAGATGCTGGTTGAATCTGATGAGGGGAACTGTAGCTGCTTCTTCACAGACAAGGAGTACTAATGGGTTTTAAGGAGGTGCTCCCAATAATAAATTGATGAAACCTTACTTCAAGAATGTACAGAAAGTACATGTGTATATAGAGGTGAGTGGAGAGGACAGGAAGAAGAGAGATGAATTTTGTTGCTCTACATACTGCAAGGCTCAGAAGGGATTCTGAGATGGAGATGCAGAGTGGTCTCTATACTGCTCCACACTGACATGTACTCTGTTCTGTTACTGCTGCAGCACAAAGGACACAATCATGGATTTCCTGTGGACACCAGCAATCAAACCTGTCCAACTTGCCCCCTTACACTGGGGGACACTTAAATGTGGTTTCAACCCCCACATAGAGTTGCCAACCCTCCAGGACTGGAGTCTCCAGGAATTAAAGATTATTTTTTAATTAATGATGATGTCATGTGATAAACTTCTGGGAATACAGTACGTCCAACCAAAATTGGCAAACCTACCCCCACGTGGGGTATCACATCCATAGTGAGCCACACAAAGCACAATATAACACTGCTCTACAGCCAAAATGCTTCTGAAATAAATGTAGTCAAACTTTACTAATTCT